TAACTATAATAAATTTATTACGTTTTTTACGCGATAAACAAAATTATTTATTTCTGACAGCCAGACCGGGTTAAAGTACAAATTCTAATTATTCATATGAAGGTGAAGATGAATTTGATAATCTACCATCTGATAGATATCCCCGTATAGTTGGAAGTAGTGCACGTTCGGTTAAAGATAATGAAGAAATATCTGAGTTATCTTTAAAAAAATTAAAACAAGAAGCAAAAAGTTTATATAATGAAAATTTTAATCTTATGACTGAACGTGAAAGAGTGTTAGAGTTGTCTGAAGACCCTAATTTATCTAAAGAGGATAGAGATAGACATAAAGAAAATAGTGAAGCTTTATGAGATAAGGGTCAAGAGATTAAAGAACAACACGAAACTAAGTGTAATTTAATTAAATCTCTGGAAAGACAACTTGAAAGAAACCCTAATTATAAACCATCAGAGGGAGAATCGTCTTCAGAGGTAGAATCGTCTTCAGAGTCAGGTTCTAATATGAATGATGTTGATGTATAATATTCAATGTTATAATATTTATTATTATTAAAAACACAAGGCTTTATTCTGTATTAGATTACAACTATCTTTATTAAGATAAGTATAATGTACATGGTTTGCTTGTTTTAAACATGAAAAGCTTATATATAGCTAGAATATGCAAATTAAAGATTTGGCAACAGTTAAGTAAGTAATAGCTGTTGAAAAATATTACTAATTGCTGGAAACCTCTAATTACTAATTATAATTGTTGTATAATAAAGCATAGTTTAGAGCAATCAGCAGGAAACCAAAATGCGTATGTATTTTGGATCTTCAGAGACTACACGTGATATATCCTCTCAGGTTTTTTATTAGCGAACGGCTTTATAGTTGAGGGGATAAAGATATAGTCCGATCCATTAAAGAAATTTAATGTAGCCTTTATAAGAGTAACTTTTTCAGTTTCCCACTTATTTTTTTTTCCTTACAAAAAGTGTAAGAAAAAATCTTAAGCCGCGCCATATATTATTTTTTTTGGTGCTCATCTGGGACAGGGGTTGTTTCCCGAAAGGTTAATGTATTACTTCTTTAACTGTACCCTTTACAGTTTCACCTGTTACTGGTCTTACTACTTCTTATGAGTATGTAAATAGTAGCGAGGATCAAAGAAAAATTAAGGGTACCCATGAAGTATTGCCTACAATAGATATTAAATTTATTGAATGGTTTGTAGGTATTTGTGAAGCAGAATCTAATTTTTTATGTAGAGTACGTAAAAATAAAGAAGGAGAAGTAATAGGTTTTGAATTTGTGTTTAGAATTATTTTACATAAAGACGATTGAAAAGCTTTAGAATTAATAAAATCTACTTTAGGTTGTGGAAGACTAAATACTGAAAGAGATACTTTAGTATTTACTATATCTCAATTAAGTGCTATTGAAACTATATTAATACCTTTGTTTGAACAATTTCCATTAAACACCACAAAATATTTAGATTTTTTGGATTTCAAAAAAGCATTCTTTATGTTTAAAAACCGAAAAACTAGTGAATTAAAT